GGCGCGGAGGAAGCTGCGTTCAGAGCGCCGGGGGAGGCTGCTTGAAGGCGGTGGGAAACAACGCGTGCCCTGCAACGCTGGCGGCCTTGCTGCGAGCTCTTTCTTTTCTCCATAGCTGAAGGAATCCAAACGGGCGGTGAACAGCCTTCGGGATATCGTCGATGACGATGATGACGACCTCGAGAGGGTCAGCTGGAGCGGAGAGCCTGTGGGAAGTAAGCGCAGAAGTGCTGTGGGTTATCCTTGGGGCGAAGGGAGTCTAAAACTACCACTGAAGTCGCGTTGTTTAGTGGAGGTCAGGAGTACTACTTGCCATCTAATACTGCCTAATCCTGTCTGGTCTAATTCCAGTCTCCTCAGGTTGCGTTGTGAGCCACTTGATTTACCTGTGTGGATCCACTGAAACGAGAGCTAGCAGAAGCCCAAATTACATAGACGAGCTCAGACAAGTGGAGGGAATTCACTGTGTTTTTGCCAATATGTAACCCAGATTAGAGCAGATATTTTGGAAGTTATGGCCTGATACTCATCACACTCAGCTGGCTTGCAGGATTCAGGGTGATCGTTTCTTCACGCTGCTGCCTGAAGTGGCACCATTTAACGTTCTCTGGGCTTCGTCCCCACAGCACTTTAAGGAGATACTCTAAGGTTTAGTATGTGTTTATAGACTGACTCTTATGCTTGACATTTGAAAGGGAATTGCAGGCATTAAGCAAATGCATTTCTGGTGGTGATGGGAGCGAGCTCATGACCCACGCACGATGCTGCCTGCTGCGCGTTGGAGTGCGTGACCCACAGAACGTGTGGCACTTGCTAGCCAGTGCCAAACAGTGACAATTTACATTTGGATTACCAAGGGAGGACCTGCAAAGAGTCTATTCTTCTTGTCCTATGATGTAGCTCCTCCCTCTGGTTCACGCTGTTTCTTTTCCCACCCCGGGTCTCTACCTGTCAGCTTTTTTTGCTCTATCGCCCTGTCCTAAAATGTGTGTGTTGTGCAGCTGCATGAAAAGAAGGGAAAACTGTGTCTCGAAGAAGCAGGAGGGAGAAAATGCATTGTTGCCAGCAGCATATGCACATTGATAGCTGTTTTGTCTGTGTGGGGAGGAAAACTGTCTTGGTTTTCCAGTGTTCGGGAAGGGATGCTCTTATGCTTCTGTAGCCTGAGGTAAGCCAGGGATTCTCTGTCTTCCTGCGTACCTTTAGACCAAGGATTATGCTTTACCCTATGCAACAACATATAAATGTTGGGTGGTCTGTGCAATTTTTTATATAAGCCATAACCAGCTGTACACCGTTGCTGAAATCAACCATTTTTGTAGGACAATGCACAACTGTATAACAAACACTGTTACATGAGATTGGGATTCTGTGCACTGCATCTACTTAGCGCTCAGGGTCAAAGTTATCAGGATGTGCTAGTGCAGACCTGACCAGGACACACTTGGTAACATTCCTGCCGTGCCATAAGATTGTTCTCTACGGACTGGTTTTCTCTTTCTCTGTTATAAATGACCTCTGTCTGCACATAGGTATCTCCTGGTCAATCAAAGAGACAGCCTCCAGCAGCACTAGCTCACTGGAGGGCCGAGACTCCAGCCTACAGAAGGGCTCTTCCTCCTATGCTGCTTTTCCCAAGCAAGTTTCCTCCTACTCCCTAAGCAGCCTATTCAAAGGTGAGGTTCCTTACATACAATATGGACAAATGGGTTTTCCCTCGAGAGCGTCAAGGGGCAATTGTGTTAAATTGTTTTCTCTTAAGTGTGTTGCAAAACAGGGAAGTTCTGATCTCTCCTCAGTATGGGAGTTTATCTCTCACTGGTCAGAAATTGGAGACTGTCTTGTGCAGAAGATCATGCATGCTTTTGTGGTGTTTGTGGGGGGGCTTTGAGGATTATGGCTTCTTAAAAGCCAGGTTCCACAGAACAGCAAGGGGCAGCACAGCACTGTGCAACGATCCATTTGCATGGTGGAAAAGAGCAGGCTACAAAGGGACTGGCTTGACCCCTGTGGCCTTCCTTTGACCTTCAGTACTGTAGAGAAGACAGGTAGATTATCCTTTATTTGGAGCTCAGTGGCTGCTGTTGATGTTATAGTTGGTTCAGCAAACACGTGGTGGCAGCAGTGGTAGCGTAGCTGGTTATGGGGGGAACTCTCTCACAGCCAGACAACAAACCAGCTTTTACCTCATCTCTCCTTCTCTGGAGTGGTTTTTTATTCTCCACTTTGATAGTACAGTGATAATGAAAGGCATCCAGATCGCAGCCTGGGCGAATGAAGCTGTCCGTGTTGCCATGGCCTAAGCAGTGCTGTGTGCTTGAGCCTCCGCTCTGCAGCTAGATGAGTAAATTCAGGCGCTCTAACCTCTCCTGGCCTCAGCAGCAAGAGGGCAGATAGGGCTGTGGTGCGGTATGGTTTGTGATGCCACAGGCAGCTTCAAAGCCTTCGACTGCAAGCAGACGAGCCCCAGCTATGCCGGTGTAGTGTGAATCGCTACACAGAGTGGCTTGTTCTCCGGTGGCGTAGCTGCCGCACGCTGGCTTGCAGTCTAGGCTTGTGTTCCCTCTGCAGGAGATGTTGCTGGTAAAGAGGCAGTGTCTCATGAGTGTTTGTTTTGATTTCAGGACGAAACAAGCTTCCAAGTTTCCAGTCCCTTTCAGATGGTAAGTTTTGAATCCCTGCCTCACATTGGGAGGGGTGCAGATTTACATACACCAAAGCGTTTCCAAAAAAAGGGAAGTGTCATCTTCCTTATGTTGCAGAAAGGGAAGCGGAATCGTGGGTTGTCTGAAAGTCATTCAGCAAAGAAGCGAAAGAGCTGGCATGATGGTTTGGGCTAATCTGCTTATGTGCCACTGACAACTGTTGGGTTTAGAGCAACTTCGTGTTGCCATTTGGTGCTTGAGTTTGGGTCTTTTACCACGAAAATCGAGAAAAGGGCAGTTTTGGAGGTGGGTGTGAATTAGGATTTTGATGTGCTACTCAGCTTTGTGTTTCCTTCTCAGCCCTCTCTGACACAGGAGTTAAAAACTACGCCCCAGAGCTGCGCAGACCAAAAGCTGAGTACAAGGTGAGCAGCCTGGGTTTGTAGTGTGCTGAGGTCAGAGTACTGCCAGGAGAATTCCCTACTCTGGTGGTTTCATGGGAAGTGATTCATCGCTATTCAGACGGCAGAGGGCAGTGCAGGGAACACGACAAGGAGCTGCAAAATGCAGCCTCACAGTAACTTGGTGTTCTCTGCTTTTGCTCAGAAGCGGGGAGCTTTGCTGGGGGTCTTAGTTACTCCTTCTCCTAATGAATGGCTGAGCAGTTTTTGTGAAAAGGATTTCTGAATACCACTTTGCCTGTAAGCTGCTTTCATGCGAGGACAAACAAATTGGCATCGCATATGCTTTTTAAATTTTTTTTTAATCTAAAGGCTTCTAAATTTCTTGTTCATGAATCACTGGGACAGCATAAAGGGAGTTGCACAGAGGTGGAGTTCCAGCTGGCAGGAGCGTTATTCTGCCAGATAGGCAGTGTTAGGTGTTGCAGAATCTAGTAGATTTTGGGACTGGGTGGATTCCTCCTACTAGGTGAGAGGTTGTGGTTCTCTGTCCCCAGGTCGAGCCAGTAACAGGGCGGAGCACATATTTGCAGCAGATACAGACACGCACAATACTAACGCAGCTGCCCATGTGGATTAACACAGACAGAGACCAATGCCTTTACCAACAGACACATAAACACGCTACACTCAAGCCTGATCCTGAGCCTCCTTTCTGTCTGACCAGGACTGAATTCCACTGGTGGAACATGCACACAATCTGTGGGTCTCTCCAGCAGCTGGTCTTAGACATCCAGGTTGTTTTGTAGCTGAATCCCAGACCCCAGTCTCCTCCAGTTGCTGGCACCTGGACCCTTGTGCCCCTAGGGTTCATGGTCCCATTCCGGTTCCTGGTACTCAGACTGCTTATTCTACTTATTGGCTGGTTGAGCTTGAAGTTCACTAGCATTCATACAAACACATGCACTTGGAATAGAGAGCCCACCCACAAAGAAAGTGGTTAAATATAGAGTTTAATGAGAATATAAGACAAACTGCAGTGATCCATTGCACGGCTCAGGCTCAGTCAGACAGGCACACTAACTTAGCCACTTGTTTAAACTTGGCTGGCACTCTATGGCCTCTTTTCCCTATTTTCCCGTGCTTGTTCCTGCCCAATTCATCTTGATCCCTCCGTTTCCCTGCTTTTTGTCTTTCCCGTAAACATCCATAACAAGCCTCACACATTTACACTACCCTCCTAAAACATCCAAGGATTCACTTTCCCCTGCATCTCATACAAAGTCCTGTGCCTCTTTAGAGTTGTGTGGTGTTTGGGGAAAGTTTCTTTGGTTTACTCATCTTGGAGGGTTTGACACATTGGACAATACCTTATCTGTCTCATTTGATGGTGGCAAGTAGTGGTCAAGTCACTGTGCGCAGATTGCACTGATTAGGTTACTGGGTTTTCTCCACCTGCTCTTGCCATCTGATCCTCACTGGGTTGGTGTGTTTATGTTGATTAGCCATTAATCACGTAACCTAACAGGCAGCACTTCCTGAAAGCACAGCAGGATAAACAAGTGTGCCCTGTTGTGTTCTGTTTTGTGGAGCAGGAAGGGCCGTACAGCCCCTTAGAAGCAGGCAGGAGCAGTGTAAGTGGGGTGGACCAAAGAAGGGAAAGTTAGTGGCAGCTTTGAGCCGGTGTCCTGACAGTGACAGGCTGAGGAGCTGCCTCTGGCCAGAGGTGCTGGAGGGAACTCTGGTACTTAGGGCATTTGACACATTGAGGTGAGAGACTGGTGTGCAGTGGCCCCCTAATAGGGCTGGATCAGCCCTGTATTTCTTTAGATTTGGGCTTTCAGTAAATCTTCAATAAATTTAGAATGCAGCGTCCTCAGAGCTGGTTCTGGTTACTCCTTTTCTCTGGCTCTTTTAAGGCAGAAGGCTGAATTATAACCGCTGGTTCAAGTGCCTCACACACACTTAGATGCCTTCTTGGAGTCCGAGTTCAGGAGTGGCTCCCGGCCCCCCCCCCTT